TGACCAATCAGATGAGGCTCACGTGATGCCCCTGCCAACCTGTGATTGGTCAGGGCCATGCCAAGGGAAGCCAGAGGCGGCTGGCTTCCCTTGCCTCACAATCCAATCAAATCGCATCAATTTAGTGTTGGAGTGACGCGTCCTAAAATCCGGAAGTAAGCTGCGCTCGGTTTCCCTCGACAAAAAAGCAATGGGATTTCTCCATAGGATTTAGGAAAATAGCTTGAAATAAGGTCTGTGGAAAACGAACCTGTTAGATAAATGCAAGTTTTGTTCAGTCGGATAATATCCACATGTCTACCCTACTTTTATAATTTTCGAATCATAAATCTAATCGATAGAAGATAGATAGCGTCACTGCACCACTCTCACCGCCGTTAGAAAGTAGCAAGCAACTGAAGCAAGTGCAATTATGGAGGGTGGAGATTTGGAGTATTTAATCAAAAATAATTGTACTAAACTTCCGCTACAGCAGCAACTAAAAATCTGATGACAGGCCAATGCCCAAACTGGAGCTGTGTACAGCGAGGAACAAAGGAGCGAATCGGACGTAAAACGTTAAAGGTCTCCTGATTTAATTTGTGAATTAATGCTTATTAGAGTTTCGGCTGGAGAGTGTGTGCGGACCTGTCGGTTAGATACCAGGCGTGTGTAAGTCCTGCATCTGATACAAATGTGTGTAAAATGATACCGGGTGCTGTAATCACTCATCTGGTTACGTTATTACATTGACCACCACACCCCCGACCCAAAAGAAAGGACGTATTATTGGCTTCCCCTAATTTTTTCCCCACGCCACGCTACTGCATACTATACAGAGATGCTGTATGAGAAAACCAATGTGATTTTGGAACAATGTAAATCTATTCTCGTAGACCTCAACAATGGAATTATGATCAGTAGAAATGGCCATGACATGGGACCTTTTAAACATCACTGATATGTTTCATGTTAAACTGGAACGTGTGCTGTTGAAAGTAGATAGATATTAGTGTGACAAGGTGACTTCACTATGTAACACTTGCGCTTCAATTGGCTAGCGCTCCAACACATTGTACATGATAGGCTAAGGGGTGGGACATCTCTAAGCGGTTGACCAATCACAACAGAGCCGGCCAGCTAACCAATCAGAGCAGACTGGGCTCTGGTTTCAGACAGGGGGTGAAAAGAGGTGCTGCAGCACAGGCAGTATGAGAGAAATAAAGAGCTTTTTGAACATTAAAGCATGGAGACATGTAGAGACACTACATACTGATATACACCTGAACATCAGCAGGTGAGGACTCTTTAAAGTAGAGACACTACATACTGATATACACCTGAACATCAGCAGGAGAGGACTCTTTAAAGTAGAGACACTACATACTGATATACACCTGAACATCAGCAGGAGAGGACTCTTTAAAGTAGAGACACTACATACTGATATACACCTGAACATCAGCAGGAGAGGACTCTTTAAAGTAGAGACACTACATACTGATATACACCTGAACATCAGCAGGAGAGGACTTTTTAAAGTAGAGACACTACATACTGATATACACCTGAACATCAGCAGGAGAGGACTCTTTAAAGTAGAGACACTACATACTGATATACACCTGAACATCAGCAGGAGAGGACTCTTTAAAGTAGGGACACTACATACTGATATACACCTGAACATCAGCAGGAGAGGACTCTTTAAAGTAGAGACACTACATACTGATATACACCTGAACATCAGCTGGAGAGGACTCTTTAAAGTAGAGACACTACATACTGATATACACCTGAACATCAGCAGGAGAGGACTCTTTAAAGTAGAGACACTACATACTGATATACACCTGAACATCAGCAGGAGAGGACTCTTTAAAGTAGAGACACTACATACTGATATACACCTGAACATCAGCAGGAGAGGACTCTTTAAAGTAGAGACACTACATACTGATACCTGAACATCAGCAGGAGAGGACTCTTTAAAGTAGAGACACTACATACTGATATACACCTGAACATCAGCAGGAGAGGACTCTTTAAAGTAGAGACACTACATACTGATATACACCTGAACATCAGCAGGAGAGGACTCTTTAAAGTAGAGACACTACATACTGATATTGAATTTCTATCCACCAGGGCGTGCAATGATTTTGCCTTTTTCACTGACAAAATTCAGAAAATCAGACAAGCAGTCAGTGCCTCTGCATCAGGTACAGCAAATGTGTTGTCTCTGTGTCCACTTAAAATCAATTCAAACATCATGACACAATTCCATCAGATTAATGATAAAAACCTAGAGGACATTATTCAACTTCTGAAATCCTCCTCTTGCTGCCTTGATGTTATTCCAACAGGATTTTTCAAAGATGTTTTGCCTTGCATGGCCTCAGATCTACTTCATATAGTAAACAAATCTCTTCACTCAGGTATTTTTCCACAGGCCCTGAAAACTGCAGTCATTAAACCGCTCTTAAAAAAGAATAATCTAGATGCTTCAGTAATGAACAATTACAGGCCCATATCAAACCTGCCATTTCTAGGTAAAATCATTGAAAAAGTTGTTTTTCAACAGTTGAGTAATTTCTTGCATTTAAATAACTGTTTTGATGTGTTCCAGTCAGGCTTTCGTCCAAACCACAGCACTGAGACTGCTCTTGTAAAGGTCTTTAATGACATCCACTTAAACACAGACAGTGGCAGAACTTCAGTGTTAGTATTATTAGATCTCAGTGCTGCGTTTGACACTGTTGACCACAGCATATTACTAGACCGACTGGAAAACTGGGTGGGACTTTCGGAAACAGTTCTGAATTGGTTTGAATCCTACTTAAAGGACAGAAACAACTTTGTTTCTATAGGTAAATACACATGAGTTGACAAATATGACATGTGGGGTTCCTCAAGGCTCCATCTTGGGGCCTCTTCTCTTTAACATCTACATGCTACCACTGGCTCAGATAATGAAGAACAACAAAATAAGTTACCATAGCTATGCAGATGACACACAAATTTACGTAACAATTTCACCAGGAGACTATGCTCCAATTCAAACACTGAGTAAGTGCATTGAACAAATCAATGACTGGATGTGTCAGAACTTTCTCCAATTAAACAAAGAGAAAACTGAGGTAATGGTTTTTGGAGCCAAGTCAGAGCGTATAAAAGTTAGCGCTGAGCTTCAGTGTGCAATGTTCAAAACAACAGATAAATCCAGAAATCTAGGTGTAGTCATGGACTCTGACCTGAGTTTCAACAGTCACATTAAAACAGTTACTAAATCAGCCTACTATCACCTAAAGAATATATCTAGGATTAAAAGACTAATGTCACAGCAGGATTTGGAAAAACTTGTCCATGCTTTTATCTTCAGTAGACTCGACTACTGCAATGGTGTCTTCACAGGTCTCACTAAAAAATCTATTAGGAAGCTGCAGCTGATTCAGAACGCCGCTGCTCGAGTCCTCACTAACACTAAGAAAGTATATCACATCACTCCTGTTCTGAAGTCTTTACACTGGCTTCCTGTGTGTCAAAGAATAGATTTCAAAATACTGCTGCTGGTTTATAAAGCACTGAATGGTTTAGGCCCAAAATACATTTCTGACCTCCTGCTAAATTATGAACCATCCAGATCTCTCAGGTCTTCAGGGACTGGTCAGCTTTCTGTCCCCAGAGTCAGAACTAAACATGGTAAAGCAGCGTTCAGTTATTATGCTCCAAATATCTGGAACAAACTCCCAGAAACCTGCAGGTCCGCTACAACTCTGACTACTTTTAAATCCAGGCTGAAGACTTTTCTTTTTGTCGCTGCTTTTAATTGAACTATTCATATCTTAAACTGCACTGTAACTTTTATCCATGTATTTTTTCTTTTAATGTTTATTTTATTAGCTTTTCTTTTTAATGACTGATTTTAAATGCCATTTTCTTAATCTCTTTCATTTTTTGTAAAGCACTTTGAATTGCCTTGTGTTGAAAAGTGCTATATAAATAAACTTGCCTTGCCTTGCCTTGATATACACCTGAACATCAGCAGGAGAGGACTCTTTAAAGTAGAGACACTACATACTGATACCTGAACATCAGCAGGAGAGGACTCTTTAAAGTAGAGACACTACATACTGATACCTGAACATCAGCAGGAGAGGACTCTTTAAAGTAGAGACACTACATACTGATATACACCTGGACATCAGCAGGAGAGGACTCTTTAAAGTAGAGACACTACATACTGATATACACCTGAACATCAGCAGGAGAGGACTCTTTAAAGTAGAGACACTACATACTGATATCCACCTGAACATCAGCAGGAGAGGACTCTTTAAAGTAGAGACACTACATACTGATATACACCTGAACATCAGCAGGAGAGGACTCTTTAAAGTAGAGACACTACATACTGATACCTGAACATCAGCAGGAGAGGACTCTTTAAAGTAGAGACACTACATACTGATATACACCTGAACATCAGCAGGAGAGGACTCTTTAAAGTAGAGACACTACATACTGATATACACCTGAACATCAGCAGGAGAGGACTCTTTAAAGTAGAGACACTACATACTGATACCTGAACATCAGCAGGAGAGGACTCTTTAAAGTAGATACACTACATACTGATATACACCTGGACATCAGCAGGAGAGGACTCTTTAAAGTAGAGATACTACATACTAATATACACCTGAACATCAGCAGGAGAGGACTCTTTAAAGTAGAGATACTACATACTGATATACACCTGAACATCAGCAGGAGAGGACTCTTTAAAGTAGAGGCACTACATACTGATATACACCTGAACATCAGCAGTAGAGGACTCTTTAAAGTAGAGACACTACATACTGATATACACCTGAACATCAGCAGGAGAGGACTCTTTAAAGTAGAGACACTACATACTGATATACACCTGAACATCAGCAGTAGAGGACTCTTTAAAGTAGAGACACTACATACTGATATTAACAGGCATGAGAATCAGGACTGCACAATACAAATAAATAAAAAGATTGCTCCTTCATAATAAGTAGATAAAAGTAAGTAGTGATACTGTAGGGAAATTAAAATAAAAGATTTGGCCTCATAGCCTCCCCAGATTTCATTTCTGTAATCTTCTGTTCTTACCTGCATCATTTAGTAAATTGAGTCCCAAATATCTTTCGCCACAGTCTATCAAATGCTCGCTGAGCTCTGTAATCTCTCCTCTTCATCCCTCATCCCCTTCCTGTCCTCTCCAGCTCAGTCACAATGTAACTCAGATCAGCCGTGTTTTCAGCATCCTGCAGATGATACTCATCAGGGGGGTTGTTCTTGAAAAAAATAACCAAACATTTCAATATTCAAGGTTTCAGTTACAACAATATTTTTATATTCATTTCATGAATTGTTGTTTATTTTTGTTTTGTCAGTCCAAAACCCAACGAAATGTACTTACATATGATATAAAAACAGATACAAAACAGTAAATATAGACATTTGAGAGGCTGAAACACCACCTTCTGCCATTTCAAAAATGAATTACTAAATTATCAAAATAGTTTCCGATTCTTTTTGATTGGCTAATCATTGCATCTCTCATCTCGGTTAGTCGTGACCCTTCAGGGAACTTTGTATAATGATTGAATATCTTTGTTTTCCAGGATTTGAAAAAAGCTTATTTTGGATGAAATGTTAAACCACTGACTGTTTAAGCTTGTAGTGAACCATCGGTGTTGGAGTATGAATAACTGAAGTAATTACTGTGTTATCTCTCTTGTTACCAGAGGGAAAGTTTTGATTGTAGCGCAGCGAGATGAGTATTACAACGCAGCCTGAGGCGAGACCAAAGCTGCATTTGTGAAGCTGTATTTGTTTCACGATAAGCAGCACTGACACGGCGATCTGAACAGTGAGCAAACAAGTCTTTAAAAAGAGAAGTAAACAGACAAAGCCAGGTCATCTACTAGAGCTCGGTCTCAAAATAAAAGCCCTGGTTTAGAGATGGACAGAAAGTCCTCTCAAGGTGTTTTCTCCAGGCCCTCACAGCTCTGTTTTCCCGTCTGTTGAACTCCTTGTTGGAAGGAAAGAAAATGAAAAGACAGGAAGACCTCGACCGCTTCTTTTTAAAGACACACATTGACAGAAAGTGCTTCTGTAACATGATGGAGGGCAACCTCCAAAAAACGTTTAGAGTCACCAAATGAATCCCGCTCTGTCAAAGCTTTCTTTAAAACCCCAAACAAATGGAGGATGAAGACGGAGAGCTCCCATCAAGACGTTTCCCAAAGTGGTGTCAAAGTCACACACTGACCTAGCTTTGGTGTCTTTTTGAGAAAAACTCTTTGGACGTCAAGGCTTTCAAACTCGGAGAGTGATAAAGAGGAAGGAACCCAGTGCTCTCTGCTTGAAAGGGTGTTTGCTGCCACAATAAAGAGACATGTTTTCCAGGAGAAGCTCTGTGTTGCTTTGACACTGTCTCTTCACGAGCCTGTGCACATGCTCTCTTATACAAACAAGAGTTTTAAGAACCACAATGCAGTTAGAAGCAGCACATTTCAATGCTTTCATCACAACATGTAAATAACAATAAGACTCTTTACCGGAGCAGAAGACGTGATGCTTCCTAATGTCGGTTTGCCAAACAGGTGCTTCTTCTTCTTCTCCTTCTGTCGTCTTTATTCCACGCTACAAACCAATGTAAACGCCGCCACCTGCTGCAGAGGAGGGGCGAACATTATGATCACTTCTTCAACTCCCTGCATGACTCTCGTTCCACATTTAAAAGAGAGATTTCTTCCTTGTTCTTGATTGTTCAGGGTTATTTCCCGCCCTTCATTTCCTAAACATCTTCTTTCCAGCATCTTCCTTCATTAAATCCTTGACTGCTGCCTTTAAGAATTCCCTTTACTGTACCTTGATTGTACTTTTATACATTTCCTATCAATAGATTCAATACGTCATTGTTGTTGACATTATTTACTCCTAATTCTCGTATATTTCTGTATGTTTTTCTATTTGTTTGTAACTTCTTGTTGTATTTTTGCTGGTAAAATAAAATCCCAATAAAAATATTTGTAAAAAATCTCATCGGACGGGTTTAGTGAACACTCAGCAGTGCCTTGATTCGTTTGAATTAACAATGAATTATGTTTAAAAGTTCAAATTGAAGTTTTAGTTTTCCGACAGCCTCTCTCTGGCTCGTCTCTCTGACCCTCTCCCCTCCCTGTCCTCACCCTTTACCCCCGGCCTCAGACTCCTGCACCCTCCTGGTCACCAAACAAACCTTAACCCCCCCCCCCCCCCCCCCCCCCGTTTCTCCCCGGCCCCCTGAGCTCCATCTTTTACCCTTAAACTGTCAATCACCTGCAGACCGACCCCTCTGTTTTCCACCTCGGGCAGCAAAACCAATCAGTGTCTCTGACAGTCGGCTGCAGAGCTTCTCCTCAACTTCCCAAACTCAGCTTTTAGCTCCTCCTCCCTGTGACCACCAACAGCTCGCTCATTGACCCTGAGAGAAAGCCTCGGTGATGTTGTGATCCGTTAGTCTCCAAACTGCTCAAATCAGATCATGATCATCCTTGTTTGTGTTTCCAACAATACTTCAAGTCTCTATTGAGGTTTATCTTCCCCCATAAAGCAGATTCTGACTTCATTTTCACACAGAAGAAATCTTTTAGAGGATGTTATCTTTGCATTCGCAGCAAAACTACCAGCAGAGTTTGTGTGAAACTCCTAAATTAAGACGAGAGCAGACACAAATGACTCTTCTGAAGCCGTTAATCTCCTCTCGCAGCATGTGTCTGTTATTAGAGCATCACATGTTCTTATCGTTCTCTAATGAGTCATTCAGCTCAGCAGCATTTTGGAAAACACAAGTTTCCACTTCTGCAAACACAACAGGAGAGGTTCTCAAGTGGAGAGGCCAGCATGACTTGATGTTGTGTGTTTGTCTCCGTTTAACAAAGACGATGCGGCATCCTCTGTCTTTTTACTTTGAATCAGAGAAGTGGGAACCACGGGGAAACCAGGGAGTATCTGCCGAAGCTCTCCACTAACAGGCACATCAAAACAAATGAAGGCAAAGTAACGACGAGCAATAATCTGCAACATGTTCACGTCAGTTTTGTGAATGATTGATGGTGGAATAGGGATTTCCCCTGATAATTAAACTGCATAATAAACGCAGTTCTTTTAGATTTGACATTAATATGAGCGTACAAACTGAAAACTCTAAGTCCAAGTTTGTAAAGTCAATGCAACCATTTTCGAATATGTGATGCTTTAGTGGTGAAATTAATCAGATGGCAACATCACATTAACTTGAAACAACACCGAGATGAGTTACGTGCTCTGCGTGATGACATCTAAAGTCCATATAGTCATTTAGCCACTTGTTAACAAACTGCTTTAAGATTCACAGAGTCCCTATTATGCTTTTTTGTTTGTTTTCCCTTCCCTGTAGGGTTATATAGGTTTTGGTGCATGTAAATGGTCTGCAGAGGTTAAAATCCCTGTGTTCTAGGGAGTTTCTCTCCCACACACTCCCATTGACTTTGAGACAAGGTCAGATGTTGAAATGTGTGGGTCTTGTGATTCATTCCTGCAGCACTCCTTTGAGGAGATACAAGTGGGAAGCACCCCCTAAACACTATCTCAAAGTCCAAACCTCACAACCCTGATATGATTAATGGGATTCTGCCGAGTTCACAGGAAATGTTTCACGGCTCTTGCAACACACAATGAGAGAGGAGAGAGTAAAAGGGGCGGATAGAGGAATAAAACACAACTCAAGGAGTGACAAGGGGTCTTTAAAAGAGCAGGAAGGAGTCAGAGTGAGACAAGAAGACAAATTGAGACAAAGGGAAGAGTTGACAGGAGAAAGGATGTGAGAGGGCAGAGGTGAGGAAGAGGAGGAAGAGGAGGAGGAAGCTTCACACACACAGTTGGATGTTCGTCCATTTATTTTTGTTATGTCTGCTGATAGATATATCTGAGCTCTGACTGAAGGCTGCTATCAGCCGGCTGCAGCCTGTTCTGGAAGAGAGGGAAACGTTTTTTTAAAACCTCCCAAAAACCCCAAAGTGAAGCAGATAGGAAGTCACAACCCAGGCTCAGAACCTCATCTTATTTGATCTAAATGTAAAAATGTACATATTCCTGTTTAGGTGTTAAAGTGAGAATTATGTGGCTCTTTTTAGGAAAATAACACACATGCTTTTAATATTTAAGTTGTTTATTACGTCTGGTGTATAAATATGAATCTGAGTTTAAATTGGTCTAAAATAATGTTTCCACATGCAGAATATTTCTATTATTCCACTCCTTACTGGAATGAACTAATTATGCTGTAATAAATAAATGTTTTTTCATTAACATATTTTGTCCAAATGTTTATGAAAATCACACATGGGGATATACGATTAATTAGAACTTTAAATCATCCTTAATGGAAAGAGTACTTTGTTGAATATTTATCGCTGTAGTGTTTTGTAATTCTTCGGGAACGCGTTAATCTCCATCTGACCTTTTTTACAGCTTTCTTTCCCACACAGCACATCTACATTGTGTTTTGTAATCAGCAGAACAATGCTCGGGCTGCAGCTGCAGAAATTACAAGTACTATCTTATATTAGCATAATATATGTACAGAAATGTGGCCCTCGGATTGCCTTATGCACACACGGAGAATTATTATTGATTTAGATCACAGTTTCTGGAGCAGGAAAGAAGATGACGGGCTTATTATTTGTTTTCATGTGGGAGCACGATTGTTTTCGACCTTGAGCTTGTGTCCGTGTTTATTTGAATCACACAATATTCACATTCCTAATTGAACAGAAAGCTTTGTAATGAGACTACATGCTGCCTTATGAAACTGTAGCTCACCTTTTTAGGAGAGTAAAATGTTGAATGCACAGAATCGTATTCTTCTGACCTAGCCACCGGATAATCTCCACGCTTACAATGTCCATGAAAGAGGAATTAAAGGCGGAGAATGGATGCGTTTTGACCTTGCAATGTGCATAATGTTAGGTTATGTTGTGCAGGAGATTAGGAAGTGAACATTTCAGGTGTCAAGATTACGCAAATCCTCTCAAAGAGGACATATAATGTACATTTTCAGGTTCATATCAGTATGTAGTGTCTCTCCTGTGACATGTCTCCATGCTTTAATGTTCACAAAGCTCTTTATTTCTCTCATACTGCCTGTGCTGCAGCACCTCTTTTCACCCTCTGTCTGAAACCAGAGCCCAGTCTGCTCTGATTGGTTAGCTGGCCGGCTCTGTTGTTATTGGACAACTTTAGAGATGTCCCGCCCCTTAGCCTATCACGTACAATGTGTTGGAGCGCTAGCCAATAGAGTGCCACAGTGACGCGTCCTAAAACTCGGAAGTAAGCTGCGCATTGGTTCCTTTGACAAAAAAACAATGCAATTTCTCCATAGGATTTTTGAAAATAGCTCGAAATAAGGTCTGTGTTTGACACACATTTAAAGGTAGGGTAGGTAATTTTGGAGAAACCAGCTCGAGTGCGCTAGAATTTGAAAATACACAGCCGGAAAAAATCTGCCACTTCCTTACAGAGCCCCTCCTCCAACACACACGAACGCGCACATGACCAATGAGGGCACGAGATAAGTTTGTGCCCAGATGGAAGGCTGACAGGCAGGTAGGCCATCCAGTTACTTTAGCCGGGCCGGCTCAAATGATTGGTCGTGCTTTTTACAGTACTACGGCTTCCAGAGATGAATTTTTTTTATTGATTTTTTGTCAAAGCACTTCAGATATTCATTGCTATCGGGATGTTAAGAGCATTCCATGGAATATAACAAAAAGTGTATCTCGAGCCGGTTTCTCAAACTTACCTACACCACCTTTAAGAGACGGATCAAGTACTGAATAAAACTGAACAAAACGTGATCCGTCTCTTAAATGTGTGTCAACCACAGACCTTATTTCAAGCTATTTTCAAAAATCATTTTTGTCGAAGGAACCCATGCGCAGCTTACTTCCGGGTTTTACTGTGGCACTCTATAGAAGCGCTAGGGTTACATCGTGATGACATCATGTTACAGAAGTAAACAATGGAGTCCAATGAAGGGGTTTCAAGCCTCTTGACACAGGGATTTTTGCATTTGGAGACCATTTACATGCACACAAACCTTTATATCACACTAGAGGAAAGGGAAAACCCCAAAAAGCGTAATGGGGCCGCTTTAATATTAAGAGGATACAAAACAGCATTCAGCTCAACTTGAAACAACATTTCCAGTAGATAGGATCCCTCTAAGCTGCTCATATTAATTCACACTCACAAGCGTTACAAGGACCCAATCATCCTGTTGTTCTGTGACATTGTAAAGTGGTGATTAAGAGACACTTTAGAAGACAAGACATGAAGCAAACATACACTGCTGAAGTGTCAAGATTGGACAATGTCATCCTTCAAAAACGACAGTTAGACACAATATTTGACCTATAGTTGTCATTTACGAAAGGACTTTCACTAAGCTAAATTAGCACACTAATTCCCCTCTTGAATGCTGCAAAGAGCTTTTTTAATAATACATTTGGACCACTAGAAAAATAAAACAGCTAATTCAAATTGAGTTGGAGTTCATTTAAGGTCGAGGCGAGCGAGGCGGCGTCTACTGATGGATTAAGATACTTCTGTTTACTCACAGTCAGTGGATGAGAGATTGCCCATTAGCCTCTTGGGCCAGGCGGAGACATGCAGACAGAGTCGTGGGCGGTCAGCGAGTCGACACGTTAACAAGCTGTGAGCCAACGGCCTTCTGGGAAGAGGCGGCCATGACAGTCGCTCAGACCCGTGATGAATGGCTGCTGGTGGAGGAAAATAAAAGGCCATAATGGTGTAGGATGGAGAAAAGAAGAGGGTTTAAAGTGGTGAAGGGCGGACGATTTTTTGGCAGAGCGACTTTGAAGTTAGCATCACAATGGTTACCTCAACAAAAAGCCAATAGGATTTGTCCATTTGATTTTGGAATATTTCTGAAAATAAGCTTTGTGGCGTTTATGATACTTACACGTTTTGTTCAACAGGATAATCCAAACATATAGACACCGCTTTATGTTTTTTTAAGCTTAAATGCAAACGGCAGAAGTACAAAAACTAACGTTAAGCTATAAACGTCAATAACGCTAAGCTAAAGGCAGTAAATGTTGGGCATCATGATTTTTTGTCGTCTCCTTTACAAACTTGTGCCACCAAACGACTGCAGTTTTAAAGACACATAGAAGCTTTGGACGTTTACGAGTGGGGTATTGACTGACGTATTTGTATATTATAGAACAAAATATGAAATCTCTTATGCTTGTGTTAACCACAGACCTTATTTCAGGCTTCTAACCAAAAACACTTTCAAGAAAAGTAAGAGTTGTGGGAGCCGAAAGTGGTAAACAGGACTCATTCCTGCACCAATTGTTGGAACAGAACATTTATTATAGGACAATTGTAAAATAAAAATAAATGGAGCTGGAGATTCATTTGTTTTGTTATTTGGCTGCAGAGTAATGAGCAGACATATCCCAACAAAGGGACGCAGTGAGGAGCTGTGAGGCTGCTGGGTAATCAAAGTAATGAAACCTCCTCACCTGAAAACACAGAGCGCCGGGCACAGAGGGATCAACTGGTCGTCTGGAAATGAAACCAGACAGGATTTAAATGGCCTGTTGAGATCAACATGCTGTGTTAAAACTGCTTTAGCCCTGTTCAAGGCTGTCTCATTCACTGCATTGCAGGGTTATTCATGTCAACTGAAACTCAAACTACAATGAAAATAAGCAGTAAAAAACATTGTGATAAACTGAAATTAAATCAGAATCAGAATACTTAATTTTTCCGAGGGAGCAATTATGTTTTAGTAATAGTAAGAATAAAGCTTTATAGAACTTTCATGTACTAAGTGCAGCTCAAAGTGCTTTAACAACATGCTGTAGTTTCTTTATAGCCCAACATTAGCCACCTTTAGCTTAGCGGTGGTGACGTGAAGTCATGTGACCGTGCTGTAGTTCCTTTATAGCCCAATATTAGCCACCTTTAGCTTAGCGGTGGTGACGTGAAGTCATGTGACCGTGCTTTAGTTCCTTTATAGCCCAACATTAGCCACCTTTAGCTTAGCGGTGGTGACGTGAAGTCATGTGACCGTGCTGCAGTTCCTTTATAGCCCAATATTAGCCACCTTTAGCTTAGCGGTGGTGACGTGAAGTCATGTGACCGTGCTGCAGTTCCTTTATAGCCCAATATTAGCCACCTTTAGCTTAGCGGTGGTGACGTGAAGTCATGTGACCGTGCTGTAGTTCCTAGCCTAACGCTAGCTTTTGACTTCAATAATCATAAAGTGGTGTTAATATGTTGAGAATATCCTGCTGAACAATCATCATACACGTCAATCCTCTTACTTTACTGCAATATTTTCAAATCCAATATATTTTTGTCCAAGGAACCTTTGCGATACTAACTTCCTGTTCGGCCAACACAAACACGTCATCACTGCACCTCTCTATAAAGTAGGTCTGGGGAAAAAAAGAGTAAAATAAATATTAAATGATGCATCTCTACAGCTTTGCTCTAACGCCACTAATGATCTCACCTGTGTGTTATTAATCATGTTTCCCTGTGAGCAGGCAGCAGTGGGACCGGGCTCTCAGATGTGCGCAGCGTGTGGTCCGATTATTCCAGGATGCAGCATTTCCAGCAGCAGGTGTGGCCCTAAACAGCTGCTTCTGTAGCTTAATGAGACGGCCATCGCTGCTCATGCAAAACTCCCCAAATAAATGAGTAAACTAACAGGAGAGAAAACAGCTGACCGCCTGGCGAAAGCCACCCGGTCTCTCACTGCATGTGTTTTTGAGTGGGCATTGCACATATTAATATATTGCTCTTTTTGGTGTTTGGCTTATCTTGTTTTCTTTTGTGTCCCACAGTTTTGCAATTTAAATTGTTAAAATGTTCAATAAACTTCCTTTGAAACTAGAACTTTTGTTGTTTACATATGAGGTCTTAAAAAACATTTTCTTGAAATAAACCCACCACATTTTTGCAGTTCTGCCTCTTTGATCAAGGTCCTTATTAAGAGAACATCAGAAAACACAAAGATTGAAATATTAAGGGTCATATTTCTTCCTAACCCGTAGCAGGAGGTAACCCCTGCGACGGTTACAACATTTTTGAACAGGCTAGATGGAGATAAAGGGTCCCGTGATTTAATAATAAAAGGTGTTAGTGTGATAGAGACTAAAGTACGTCATGCTTTTTAGTTGATTGTTATGAGTGCACCTGCCAAGGGATTGCAGATGATTAATTAATGTATTTTTATGCATGATCCATGTTTCATAACGACAACAAATAATAAAGCTTAAGTCATATTTGTGCCCCAGTCAATTCTAAAATGAAGTACAGAGTTTAATCCCAGATCAGATGTACTTTAAAAAGGTCTTCAAAATGTTTCCTTAGTGATTGTAATGTTATTTGAACTTGTTCTTGTTTCTTGTCTTAGATATTTGTCCTTGTTGATGTCGCTAATCGAGCTGCTGTGATCAAATATGAAATGGATCATCACATCATATTCACTATTTTCTGAAGATCAGCTTCGTGACACGTGACCTCGTGTGTTTTGAGAAACTTGAGGGGATTTGCTTGATTTCTGAAGATGTTTGCAAAAAATAAATATTCCTCTATTTCTGATCCTGCAGTCATTTTTCTGTTCATATGATGCTCCGTGTGAAATCAAATGTCAACGTTGACTTATTTTAAGTTATTTACATGAGTTTAGTGACCTAACATACTGTACATACTTAAGGTACGAACATAGTCTTATGTAGGCTACTTAAATACTTAACAAATATATTCATTTGAACTCAATCTGAGATGTTTCTAATAGTTGCCTTACAGTTGTATCACCTACATCTAACCAAGTGGTTTCCTGTGACCAGGAGCATTTTGTTGATTCTGTAAATAACGCTGCTGGGATGCAATAACAATTTTAGACCTGATCTGACAAAAATACATTTTCCATGTACTGCGTGCCATCTTCTTTTCTGTTGAGAAACTTGAGGGGATTTGCTGCATTTTGAAGATGGAGACTAAATATTCCTCAATTTCTGATCCTGCAGTCATGTTTCTGTTCGTATCAAACTGTGTTCAGAGCGGTGAAGACCCCGAGGAGCGAGGAGCGGTGCCAGCTCTTATCAAACCCCCGAGACCGGAGCAGAAATCAGTGAAACAGCAGCGGGCGTGTTGAACACACTGAGGATGGATGTAACAAGACGCTTTATTCTGCCGGTGTTTATTCAGCTGAACCCTGACTGAACATGAAAAAGCCCCAGAGCAAAACCAGGAGGACGCGTTCTTCCCAGGTGAGAGCTGCAACAAAACAACCCCGAAAGAGAGCTGATTGTAGCCAAAAGCGACATGAATAACAATCAAATGAGGCAAGACAAGCTCTCAGGATAAGGTGCAAATCAAATTATTTACTCAAGACAATCCAAACATGTTTAAGATTTGCAAAATCAGAGTTTTAGCATCTCGTTTGTTTCCAACATGTTTTCTGTTTTATTATTATTGCATTAATATTAAAGCATGGCGTATGTCTCTCAGTGGGAGAAACACTTTACATTAAGATGTCTTTTTACATATTTCTTTGACCTAAATATGTGCTTTTTCCTGGTTAATTGATGCACATTTTAACCCACCATCCCTCCAAAGCTACTAAACCTCTGAACATATTCAACCTGTGACTAAAAGTCGTAAGTGATGTTTTTAAAGGGTCAGAAGTTATAAAAGCGTGTGAATAAAGTGGCCATGGTCAGGATTTATTTCATGATTATTTCATCACATTAGTGGATTTCTGCAGCTTTGTTGTTGTCTCTATGCTTCAAACTATGACGTTGTTGTTGTGAACACATAATGTTATTTAGAATAAACAGGGTGTAACGAGCAGAAACAAACACGTCAACAACTGACAGCGGTCGATGAGTTTGTTGGTCGAATGTTCAATAAAGAATCCGTCAAAGTGTGCAATGTTAAAATGTTAAAATAAAATCTATACTCTATACTCACTTTAAAAACACAAACAGAATTTGAGTACCAGCGAATCAAATCAGAGCATTTCATCAGCATCACATGACTGAACTTTAGAAATTAAAATAATAAAGAATTAAAGGATTTATTGTCATACGCCCAACAGCTACACTCCTCCAACAATCATCCCCTTTTTCACAGTCTTTTATTATTATTTAAAAAAAAAATAATTCTTGATTTTATTTATTTTTGATTTTATTAATCTGTGAATCTTTGCTGTCCTGTTGTTTCACGCTTACCCTGTTGCTACTTTGTACAACTGAATTTCCCCTCGGGGATTAATAAAGGTTCATCTTATCTTATCTTATCAATGATATGCCTATTCTTAAGACTTTAAAAAATAAAAAGTCCAATAAAACAATGCAGGGTTAAGTAAACGTGTGCAATAGAATTTGAGAAATTGTGTGTAAAGTTAAATAATTAAATTGCAATTCTTCATATTGTATATATTGCATTATATCAACGGTTATCATTACAGTGTGTTTCTGTCAGGCTGCTTGTGACGTGCTACGGTTCATTATTCTGCTCAGTGTCAGCAGAAGACAAACTCCTGAACATTTGTTGCACACGATGATGAAAGAGAAACAGATCGAGGTTTAACTTCCCGCTCAGGAGGAAACTGAGCTCGTTTCTCATCCCTCCACTCTGTTTCAGAAAAAAGGAAAACGGTATTTTCCCCGATTCACTGAGATCTGTCTCTGTCTCACACAGTGCAAAGTCTGGTAAACTAATAATCCATCACTCTGACCTCGGGGGCAGCAACTGCATCAGTGATGTGTTTCAGGTCAATATACACATGAATCAGATACCGTGCAATACCCATATCATTAAGGAGTAATTAGAATAATCTGGATTCAGCATTGATGTTATTATTAATATGAATGCACTGCGTCTTTGCTTACATATGTCTAGCGCATGAGATTAGATTAGATATACAGTATTAATCACATATGGGAAAGAGTCCTCATATTTATATTTTATTACAATAAACAGTATTTCTTTCCACTGTAAAGTATTTTATTTACTTTCCGTTCGTGGTATTCTAAATTACATGTTCAGTTACCTATTCCTGCACTTTTTAGCATCATTGTGGCACTACTTTCTTGCACTTCTGAGGTCTTCTGGAGCAAGGTCGTCTTTCAACTAGAAGGTGGTGGGTTTGATCCCAGCCGGTGCAGTCAACAAGATACTGAACCCTGAGTTGCACCCGATGGCCAACGGTGTGTGTGTGTGTGTGTGTGCACTGCTAAGGGGACCCAAGTTCCCATCAGCAAAAACACGTGGGTTTGCTATCCTGGCTCCAAAATGGTGGAATGAGCTCCCATTGAAATCAGGACAGCAGAAAGCTTACACACCTTCCGGCGCAGACTGAAAACCCATCTCTTTCGACTCCACTTCGAGCGATAGAATTATTAACAAATAATTGCTAACAAAGCACTTATACACTAATAAAGGACTGGCTTCCAGATGCCTACATTCTCACGTTCCCCCTAAATGATTTGGTCTCGAGGCGATATGCAACGCGCCCGACGCACTTCCAAGTTTTTAAGATGATTGTGTTTTCACTCATGTATAATTATCCCAGCAGAAAGCCTTTCCTTTTCCTCCAGGTATCACCTAAGCTGCCTCCATTAGAGTGGATATCACGAGTGTGTCCTTTACCTCCCACTTTACACACACCTACAG